AGGGTCAAACTTGTAACCTTGCACTTGCCAGGCAGGCACTTATGCTACTGAGCTATCTTCCCACCCCAGGGCCTTTCTGGAAGAACTTAGAGAGAACCACGGCCAAACACAGACCATGCTGCAAGGGCTGAGGAGAGCAGCAGAGGAGGCAGCTGGGGTGGGGGCTCCACGGGGACTACAGAGTGTGGCTGCCCCAGGATCTACCCTAGAAGGAGGAGAATGAGACTGCAGGGACTGAGCCAAGCCCTGAGGCTCTGCTCCTGCAGCTAGCTGGAGAGCCCAGCATCTCAGGCTGCAGGAAAAGCACAAGGGGACACGGGGATGTCTCCGGGAAGGGAAATCATTCAGTCCTTAAAAGGAATGGGTCCAGGGCCTTGCTGCGGCGTGGGGAGCCTGGAAAACGCCACGCCAGGCGCAGTGAGCCAGGCTCAAAAGGCCATGCACCATGCGCTCACCCGTGAGTGACACGTCTAGAATCTCAAATCCACAGAAGGGTATGGACTGGCAGCGGCCACGGTCTGGGGCCAGGGAGGGGGAGCGGTAGCCAAAATGGCTAACACCACGGCAAGATGTCTAAAAGTGATTGTGGTAATGGTAGTTCAACCCCAAACACGCTGCGAGTCCTTGCAGTAGGTGTTTTATTTTATTTTATTTTTTTAAATTTTATTTATTTGTGTGTGTGTGTGTGTGGCCAGCTCAGCCCACCAGGGGGCGGGGCGGGCTGGCATGTGGTGCTGGGGGATTGAACTGCGTGCGGTCCCTGTGCTTTGCTTAGCTTAGCTTGTTGTAAGTAGGTGCTTTAGACCACTCAGCCATCTCACCAGCCCAGTAGGTGTTTTTATTTTATTTATTTATTTATTTATTTATTTATTTATTTATTTATTTGGTGGAACTGGGGATTGAACTCAGGCCCTTGTGCTCACCAGAGAAGCACTTATTCCACTGAGCCATCTCCCCAGCCCCAGCAGTAGGTGTTTTACATGGGTACATTGCAGCTTTATGACATTAAATGAGTAAACTACAGTTAATTTTATCTCAGTAAACCCGGGGTATTAATTTGCAAGGGTCTGGAGCATGGATTGGGACAGGTAGCTCCACAGGGACCTTAGGGCCACATCCCAAGGACTGTCTGTGGTCACCTCAGAGCAGGACCTCGAGATCCTTCTATTCCGGGCTCAGGAGACCAGCATGGTGGGGCGGGTGGTGGTGCCCTGAGTGGGGCAGCCGGAAGTGCAGAGCAGCGGGTGGGCATCGGCCTCCCCCAGGGCTCCAGACTGGCAGAGGGGTTGCAAGGAGAGGGAGGGGAGGCCCACTGTGTGGAGGCTACGGCAGCCAGGAAGGGTAGAGTGGAGAGGCTGCAGCTTGGGTTGATGCCATGCAGAGTTGAGCTTCCCGGGCTTTGTGTGGGCCCTGCACAGCACAGCGCCTGTGTCCATGTGTCTGTGTGTCTGTCTGTATTTACTGTGCTACTGGAGATTGAACCCAAGGTCTTCACATTGAACGGCATCCCCAGCCCTTTTATGAGATAAGGTCTCACTAAGACAAATTGCCCGGGCTGGACTTGAACTTGTGACCCTCCTGCTTTGGCCTCCAGAGCACTGGGATTACAGGCATGTACCACCCCACTGGCCTAGAGTGGATCTTGTCTTCTGGGAGCAGGAAGGGAGGAGGAAGGAAGGGAGTGGGTCTTGAGGTCTGGATTTCAAGAACCGATCAGAGTTAAAAGATAAGCAGGGGCGGGGCCTCTGAAAGGGGTGGAGCCTCCACCGGAACCCACCTTGGATCTGGATGGGAGCGTCCAAACAAGCAGCTTCCTGTGTCTGCATTACCGTTGTCTGGACTAAAAGAACATTCTGCACACAAGCATGAAGAAGCACATGCCGTACTCACCCACAGGCATTCTGTCCTTCAGCCAAGTCACAGTGGGTGCAGGGACCCCGGACACATCACAGGTCAGGACCAGGGGTCTCCCAGCCACCTGGCTCACTGTCTCCATCTTGGGGTTCTCAAATGTTGGGGGCACTGCAGGAAGGAAGCCATATTCCTGGAATCCTGAGACTTCCCTCTTCCCTTCGGCTCAGGCAGATCAGCCAGCCCCTTCCTGGAGCTAGGAGTTCACATTCTATGCTCGGTCTCTGATGGTAATGATTGCTTTATTCACAAATACAGCTACAAGAAGCAGCTGGTAATTTCACAGCATCTGCAAAGAGGTGCCCTGGATGGGTCCACTTAGCCCAAGGATGGTGAATGCATGGCTCATGTACCAGTAGTTCTTAACCTATGTCAGGACAGACATCATTAATCGATCCCAGAGCTCTTACACTCAGCCAGGATGAAGTCATGCACCCAAGCTGAATTTACTAGCAGAACAGTGTCAGCTGGGCTCAAGGTGAAACATCTTTGTCCTTCAGGACTAGAGATTCCCCAACATCTCCCTGCACATGAAGGGAGCTGTGCACTTGGGGCAGCAAGCCCAGTACTGGCCATTTCCAAAAATATATTTAGTATGGCTCAGGGTGTGAGTCACCTGCTGCTCCCTAGGTGGGAGGCTGCTGGCAGATAGAGTAGCCTTGCAACCTGTTTCCCATCATAGGCAGCAAAGTTTTAGCTAAGCACTTTGTCATGCAAGGAAAAACTACACTTCCCAGCCTCCCTTGCAGCACAGTGGCCAGCTGCCTGAGCTCTTGTCCACAGAACGCAAGTGGAAGAGACAAAGGCCAGCTCTCTGCTTCTGCTCCTTTCTGCTTCCTGTGGATAGGGACAGGATGCAGCGTGTCCCGACTTCAACACAGGAACAGGGACAACACCTTCAGAGATGGAGGAGCAACAAGATGGAGGGAACCTGGGTGGGTTCTCCCAAATTACTACATGGAGCTGGGGGACCCCACCAACCCCAACACTCACCTCCAGGTTTTTGCCTGAGGGGACACTTCTCACCCATTTAATCCATTGTACTTTGGAGGCTCTTTGTTACACAGCTAAATCTATGTACTAGCTGACACATATCTGACCACAGAAAATCTGGAGTCTGGCAACTGTCCAGACGATGAGCCAGGCTCCTCTCAGGCCCAGCCCGAGGTACACGGCCAACAGAATGCCATTCGTTGACATCCCATCCTTGAGCTGGTGCCACAGAGCCCTCAAGGCTCAAGACGAGGTGATGTGGCCCCAGGGCTCCAAGTGCCTGGCATCTCAGCTTCATCCCAGAACGGGGTGCCAGGCCTATGCCCAGCACTCTGCAGCACATCTGCTGTCTCTGGGGGTGCCCAGCCAGCAGGCCCTGCGCTAACGCAAACTTGACTAGAGATGAGCCCAAGGCCCAGGGGGACAAAGTCACCCCACGAAGCAGGTCTCGGGCGGAGTCCTTTGGACGCTGCTCTTTTTTTTTTTTTTAATATTTATTTATTTTATTTTATGTGTGTGTGTGTGTGTGTGGCCAGCTCAGCCCACCAGGGGGCGGGGCTGGCTGGCATGTGGTGCTGGGGGATTGAACCGCGGTCCCTGTGCTTTGCCAAGCTTGTTCTAAGTAGGTGCTTTAGACCACTGAGCCATCTCACCAGCCCCTAAGGATTTTTTTTTTTTTTTTTTTTTTTTTTTTTTGTTCCTCAAATGCCTTCAGGGCACTTTTGGCCAGCGGGAGAGGTGTGAGGTTCGAACTCCAGCAGCCTGAGGCTGACAGCTTTGTGGAAGCAGCCACTTAAAGGCCTGAGCTAGGGCCAGGCCCCCTGGACGCTGCTCTTTTAACTTCCAAACATTGCGCTTACGGCCTGGGGCACCACTGCAGCCACGTAGTCCAGGTGCTGCTGCAGGGAGCTGTGGCTGCATAGGCCCGGCTGGGCCAACTTACCCTGGACGGTGAGGACAAATGTCCGCGTGGTCTCCCCAACAGCATTGCTGACTCTGCAGCTGTATGAACCTTTGTCGGACACCTGGGACAGGAAGAGCATGTGATGATGGGGTGGGGCTCCCCTCACATATCCAGGTTCCAGAAGTTTTCAGGGCAGGGACCCCCAGATCTACTGGTTCTTCCCAGGGAGGTAAAGGGAGCCAGGACCATCTGACCTTCCTCAAGAGCCCAAAGAGACTGGAGGGATATGGGAAATGAGTACACAAGCCCCACCCCCCAAGACCCCGCAAAGACCCCTCCCCTGAGGCTAGGTCACGCTCTCTGGGATTAGAGCCCAGGCCCAGGGAGATAGCTCAATGGCACAGGGCCTGCCTGGCAAGCATAAGGTCCTGAGTTTGATTCCCAGTACTAAAAAAAGAAAAACCAGGAGACAGGGCACAGGGGGAATTCTGGACGAGGGCAAGCATTTGCGAGTGTGTAACCCACATGGAACAGATCCCGAAGAGCCACAGGTCTCAGCAAGAAGGAGCTAGAGAAAACTTCTAGATCTGGGGAAACTGAGGCAAGCAGCAGGGAAGGGATCTGCTCAGTGCAGGTCAGCACAGGGATCAGGCTGGACTCCAACTCTTGGGAGCCCACATATGTCCTGGGTCTCTACTGGAAGACACACACCTGTCGCCTCCCCTTCCCAGGCCTCTGCCCCTCCACCCGACCATGGCCACCCACCTGAGACACCGGGATCTCCAGCCTCTGTGCATTCTGCAGGGCCTGGACCCATGGCCCCAGGACCAGGGGCTTCTGGTCCTTGTACCAGGTCACGACCGGTTCTGGGAGAGAATCTGTCTCACAGTTCAGGATGGCCTTGTCCCCGGCCCGGATAAGGATTGCCTCCTGGGGGCTGTCAGGGGTCTGCCTAAAGGTGGGGGGCACTGGGGACATGAGACAGCCAGTGACCCACTGCAGCCTTTGGCTCCTTCTATGTCCTCCCACAAGCCACAGCTATGGAGCCCTGCAGGGCTACACAGTGAACCTAACCCTGGAGGAAGAGCCAGGCCAGGGTGGCAGGGCCTGCTGGGCAGGAGGGGAAGCCTCAGGTCTCCTCTGGGCCTCAGCCTCCTCCGGGAGCCGCTCACAGGTCTCCTGGGCTCCTTCCCACAAGCGGCCACCTTCAGCTGGGAAGAGCCCTTCATGGGGCCCCTGCCGTCACTCTGTGCCCCACTCTGAGGCCACAGAACCCAGCGCAGTGTCCACTCCACACAGCAGGTGAGCACAAGAGTGGAGGAAGGAGAGACCTCCAAGAGCCGTGACTGGTGACACAGGGGACCAGCTCTCCCTGAGGAGGATCCCAAAGGCCATGAGCCATCATGGTCACCATGCTGGGAATCCACAACCACACGAGCTTGGGAAGGAAGGGTCCTTTACTGGGCCTGGCTCCTGGGGTTCATCTCTTCAACCTGACCATCATCCAAGCTTCCCACGTGCCACACCCACGGTTGATGACGGCAAAGTGCCATCAAGTTACAGACGGGAAAGCCAGCACTCCAAGAGGGACAGCAACTTACCTAAGGCCAAAGAGCTCAGTTCCCAGCCCAAGCTTGTCCAGCTCCTGGGACTACTGCCTTCACAGGGGCGGGGGTGGGGTGGGGTGGGCAGATGGTGCCCAACACTATCCCTACTGGGGTAGGGGTGGGGCGTCCCAGCCACCCAGTGGCAGTCTCCCCTCCCTCAAGTGGCTTGCCCCAGGGAGTGGTGGGCACTGCGGGGTGATGGGGGACAACACGTACCCAGCACTCTGAGCTCCACCACTTTCTGGTCGCGGCCAGCCACATTGAGGGCCTCGCACATGTAGGTCCCGGAGTCTGAGGGCTGCACCCGGGGCAGCTGCAGCGTGTGGGTGCCTGTGGGGAGCCAGCCTCTCACACCAGCCCCCAGCCCCCTTCTGAACCCACCCCCCGCAGACACAGCCAGTTCAAGGTTCAGGGAAGCAGCTGTGGCTCCCCATCAGCCTCAGTTTACCCACCAGGCAGGAAGAAAACCTTTTCCCCCAGGGCCAGAGCCTCGCCGTCCTTGTACCAGGTGACCTCGGGGCTCGGGTGAGCATGGGCCTCACAGGGGAGGGAGATACTGCTGTTGAGAACGGCAGTGACCTGCTCCAGGTTCTGGCCTATGATTCGTGGTGGCACTGTCCCCACAGCCACAGGGATAAAGAAAGACATGAGATCGATGTGGGTGGGGCAGGCAGCCAGGGCTGAGACCCTGAGGACTAAGAGTCTTCCAACAGCCACCTCCCCTACCCATGAACACGCAGGGACTCAGAGATCAGAGAGGGGCAGCCATGCTTCCAAGGCCCCCCAGCTATCAGCGGCAGAGCCAAAATATCCACCCTGGCTCAATGACCTTGAACCTCAGCACTGTCCCCTCCCACCCCTGAGCCCCTGCAGCTGCTGAGATGGATGGCAGACTGGGGGGTGCGGAAGTGCTGCCCCCGATCAGGTCCCCTCTGGGAGGGATGCAGCACGGGTGGGCCTGCCCGCTCGGCCCTCTCACCTTGGACCCGGAGGGTGAACAGCTTCTCCGCAGAGCCTGCCTGGTTTTCGGCCACACACATGTAGCTGGCAGCATCAGCCGCTTCTGCTGTGGACACCTGGGGGAGCCGCCCCGAAACTGTCCCTCTCCCCCACAGCTGATACGTGACCTGGGGCGCTCATTCAGGGCAGGTGGAGTCCCCAACAAGGCTTTGTGAGACATTTTGGGGTGTTGGGCTGGGGTGGCCCTGGGTGTGGACACTGGTGGCTGAGGTGGGGGGGTCCTTGGTGACCTATGTGTGACTAAGTTCTGCCTGGGGCCCCCAGCTTCCACCAGCTCTGGGCCCAGTAGCTCTGACTGCAGCACATACACCAGAGTCCTCTACGCTCCCAGGGACCATGCAGCCTGCCTTTCCGAGCAGCCGATACCACGCGCTGCGGCTGACAGCTTGCAGGGAAGCCCTGGGAGGCCCACAGCCTGAGCAGCGGCATCCTCACCTGCAACACTCGCCCGTCCTCCAGCACCTGCAGCCGTGGGCTTGGGGAGAAAGGCAGCCCATTCTGCAGCCACGACAGGGTGGGCACCGGGTTGCCCAGGGCTGGGCACTGTAGGCTGACAGTACTGCTGGCATTCACAGTCACCTCCTCCACCAGCTCCTCGGTGTCACCCAGGATCACGGGTGGGGCTGGGTCAGGGACAGGAGGGTGAGGAGTAGTGCTGGGGACTGGGGGCTGACCGGGGCTCCATACCCTGCTCATCAAACCCTCCCAGGTCTGGTTGTAACTAAGGAGTCTACGGCACAGACAGGACTGTGGGTTGCTCGTGGCCACACAGCCAGCAAGCAGCCTACTGGAATGTGAGCGAGTTCTGCCTGCTGCAGAGCGCAAGCACACAACCCCACTGGGTACCTCGGGGTCAGGTGGGGCTGAACGCCTGGACTGGGCCCCTTTGAGGGAGCCCTCGTGGGTCCCCAGCGTCCTGTGCCCCCGGCCAGGGCTACTCACTCAGCACCAGTAGCTCATAGTGCAGCCAGTCCTCGCCCACCTCGTTGGCAGCTTTGCATGAATATCTCCCAGCATCCTCTGCCCGCACCAGGGGCAGCTGCAGGACCCGGCCACCTGCAGGTACAGGGCAAGACCACTGTCCCCACCAAAGAGCAAGGGATGAGATGTATCATCGCCTTCCCCACCTTGTCTGTGAAACAGGGCGCCTTGGCCCAGCTTGTGGGTGAAGAGGAAGCTAAAGCCAATGCAGCCACCAGCTTGCTGGCACAGTGTCTGTCCATGTTCTGCTGCCATCCCATCTTACAGATGGAGAAACTGAGGCTTCCCCCAGGGGGCAGCAGGACAACAGTAGGTACAGACCTTGGTGTCCAAGGAGGCTCCTGGGCCTGGAGCCACTGGAGGGCGGTCACTCGGAGCCTTCTGTGACCCAGAGCCAGACAGGGACAGCGCCTGGCCTGAAGCAGGGCTGGAGCTGGCCTCTAGCTGATTGCTGACTTAGGGCTGCCGTGTGCTCAGGCCCAGGCTGTGCATGGCTTGACCAGGGCTGAACCAGGGGTCACATGTAGCCCTGGGGGACAGTGGCTCGGAGTGAAGGGTCACCAGTCAGGGTCAAAACTCAGGTTAGCTGGTAACTGTGGCCATGATGTGCTTAGGATTAGGGCTACGGGGCTAGGTTGGAGCAAAAGGTCAATGCCAATGGCCTGTCGAGGGTGGGATGAGTGGCCGGGGCCTGGCTTTGAGTGACAGCTGGGATGGACCAATGGTCAGGACCCTCGCTATGGATCTGCCTTTGGCTGAGCCATGCGGGTAGGTCAGAGGTCACCAGCAGGGGAAGCCCTTGTTTCCAGAACTGTGACCAGGAACCAGCATCTGGGCTACCTCCTGCTTTTGCAGATCCCAAAGCACCAGACTTGGTAGACTCTGCTTACTGGGGGCTGACCCAGGTCCCCTTTACAGCACCTCTTGGTTTGGACTTGGCAGGACACGGTATGAAGGCTAAGCGAGAGACTCGCTCCCTGCTACCAGCGCCAGCCGACACCTGCTCCGCTGGGAGCCCAGAGCCGTCTGACCAGGCCAGGAATTTTCCAGCCCTTCCTTTGGAGCCTGGGACTGCAGAATCACCCAGGGATCAACCTACCCTGCAGCATGGAGACCCCGTCGTCTGTGGCGGAGAGGGGCTTGTCCTCTCGGTACCAGGTGAGCTCTGGCGGTGGGACTGCGTTGGTGTCACAGTACAGGTAGGCCGGGTTGTTCTCCACTACCTCTCGGTATTCCATCACCTCGCCCCGGGCCTCCTCCTCCTGGGACAGGGTCTCAAAAGCAGCCCTGGGATCGCCTACCCTCTGGAACATGGGGGGCACTGCAGGGGGAACAGCACTGTGAGGAGCCCCAGCTAGGGCACCACCTCTCTCCCCGAGACACCTGGCCGGCACAGGAGGCGCACAATTTCACACGAAGGCTCCTTCCAGTCAAGGAATTAAGTTCACCCATGTGTGCTTACTGAGCAGCACCAGGTGCTGGGATAAATTTCCTACCCACAGAGCCCTCATCAAACGGTCGCCAAAGCCTCCTAGTAACCCCAAGAAATCTGCCAGGGTGGGAGACTGTGAAAGCTTTGGCTTCCCAGAGCACAGGGATGCAAAATCTGCAGCTGCTACAGCGGGAAGGGCCCCAAGGCCGCCAGCTTTGATCACCTACTACAGGCCGGAGAGGACAGTGACAGCCTTTGGTCCAGCAGCCGGAGAATGACAGAGCCAGGGCTAAGGATCTGTCTGGCCAGGAGGCACCAGAGACAGAGAGGGGGCTCCTCCTGCCGTGTCGCACATGAGCCCAACAGAACCGCGAAGCAAAATCTGGCCAATGCCGCTTGGCTGGGCCGTGGGTGCCTACTTCCTGTTCCCCTCCCCACTTCCTTCAGAGGAAAATGTCCACACCAGCAAAGGTGCCAAAGGTGCGGAGGAGACTCTAAGACCCCCACGTACCCCCAGCAGCCTTGACACTGTAGGCTCCACTACTCCCTGGGGCCTTTTCATGAGCCAGCAGCGTGTGCCAGAGGGCATTCGAGCACCAGGTTCTGCCCATTCAGGCCCTTGGCGGGATGCCTCCTGCTACTAGGGGAGAGACCGCACCCCGCCTCATCCCTGTGGGAAACGTCTGCCCCAAGCCCTGGCCGCCGCCCGGCCCGCAGCGCCTCCTTTCGGCCGCGCAGGCGACACGCACCCTGGATGAGCACGTTGAAGTCCTGGTCGTCTTCCCCGGCCACATTGGTGGCCACGCACAGGTACCGGCCCAAGTCCGAGACCCGTGTGGGCTGGATCTGGAGCAGGCGGCCCTCGCCCAGGATTCGCAGGCGCTGGCCTGGGGTCACAGGCTGGCAGGGGAAGAGGGGAAGACCATCGGAAGCAGGCAGGAAGCACCGAGATTCGCGTTCACATTTTAATACATTTTCATTTATTTACTCTCACAATGAGCCTCCTGCCTCAGCCTCCCAGGTGCTGGGATTACAGCTGCGCATCGCCATACCCAGCTCTACTATGAAAACTTCGCACCCTTCACAGCCACCACAGGACAGTGGCCTAGCAGCTTCCCTTCACGGTGCACAGCACTCACCAGTTTCCAAATGGTTTTCCCCTGGGGTTTGGGGAGAGGGGACCCCTTCTCTGCTGACCCCCACCCTATTTACCCGGCCCACAGATGAGGAGGACGTGGGGTCCCAGCCCTCAGGACTCAACAGAAGGCAATAATCAAACACAGCCAATGGCCCCAGGATGGAGAGCTGAAAGTCCCTTGCTGTCCCCCACGGAGAGGCCAAGGGGCGCCTATCAGCCAGAACCGGAACCGGAAGGGTGGGCTAAGCTAAGCCTATGAGCCCAGCAGTCTGGGAGGCTGAGGCAGGAGGATCATAACTTTAAGCCCAGCCTGGGAAATTTAGCCACTCAGTGAGAACCTGTTTCAAAACAAAAATACATTTAAAAAATTAAAAAGGGGTTGGAGGCCGGCCAGATAGCTCAGCAAATTCAAGTGCCTGCTTAGGCAGACACAAGAGCTGGGTGTTCGATCCCCAGCCTGCCATGCCAGCCCCACCCTGGGACTGACTGAGATGATGAAGGAGACTGGGCGTGGTGGAGACTGACTGAGATGATGAAGGAGACTGGGATTACACCTGTAATCCCAGCACTTGGTAGGCTAAAAAACAGGAGGATCATGATGAGTCCAATCTGTGTAGCAAGACCCTGTAGACTCTGTACTAAACACATTTTTTTTAAAAAAGTCTTTAATTCAAAAAGGGTCGGGGATATGATATAGCTCAATATAAAGGGATTGCAAAATAAATTTTAAAAGTTAAATTAAAATGAACACATCACAAATTAAAGGCAGGTTGGGACCTGGGACAGCTGTGGGCAGATGTTCTAACTTTTCTGGACGGTTTCACACAGACCCAGGGGGAGCCCAAGGTGCCTGCCCGAGGGTCCCCTGGGCTCACCTGCCCATCCTTGTACCAGCTGATGGTGGGTGGGGGTGAGCCCCAGGACTCGCACTCCAGGCTCAAGGTGCTGTTGACCTTGGTCTTTACCTCCTTCATCCCTAGTTCCCCCGCGGGGTCGTCTTTGGAGATGGAAGGGGGAACTGAAAGAATCACAGGGGGACTGAGGAACCACAGGATCAGCTCCAGAAGGGGGGCCTGGCTCCCGAGGGTGGAGGAATGGGGGTCCTAGGCACCAACCAGACCCCAGTCCCAGACCCCACTCAAAGGACGAGGCATTTGTCTGCGATGGCCACAGACAGGTCTGAGTCAGGTGGCTACTAGGGTGGTGTCTGGGGCCATTCTTGGCCACTCTTTCTCAAGCGGAAGACCCTCTGGTTGTGGAAGGACATCAGGCCTGGGAGCCTGGAGGCCCGAGAAGGCTGAGTCCCGACAGCATCCCAACTCTGAGCAGCTTCAGGACTGTGGGGGTGGGGGGAGAATGGAGGAGCATCCACAGCCACATGGTGGCATCAGCCCGGGTCCCTGACTCACTGAGCACTTCCACATGGTAGCTCTTGGTGACCTCCCCCAGTTCATTGGTGACCACACAGGTGTACTGGCCCGCGTCTTCCTTCTGGGCATTCAGGATCTGCAGCCCGCGTGTCCCTGCTCAGGGATCAGTGCCACAGTCACCATGAGCTCTGGCTGAGCCTGTCTGATGCGTGTCACCCATGCCCCGAGGTCCCTGCCCAGAGGACATCACCTGGGAGCAGCTGGATATTCCTGGACTCCTCAAAAGGGACCCCATCCTTCATCCAGGTGATGTTGGGGGCAGGGAAGGCCAGCGCCTCACAGATCAGGGAAATGGGGTTGTTGATGGTCACGGTCACCTCTTCACCAGCACCATCCTCGGTGGCCCCCAGGATGGTGGGCAGCACTGTGGTGGGCAGGAGGGCACTCTGGGTACACATCTCAGCCCAGACCAAGGGCCAGGACAGGTGTGAGCCCAGCTGCTTAGCCTCCCGCTGCAGCCGCGTGCCTCACGCAGACGGGAAACTGAGGCTCAGAGGCATCCATGCTCTACGCAGCTGGACTTGAATTCAGGGCTAAATTCAAGCAGCCCACTGCTGGCCAGTGCTCACAGGAAAGATGGGTAACTTCTATCTCAGTTTCCCTAATAGCTTGCAACCTTGCAGCACCCAGTGTATCTAATTTAACACAATCCTCTTCTGTTTGTGTTTCTGGTTTGTATTCCTCCCTGATTTGGGGAAAGTCTGGGGGCAGCTTTCTCTCTGCTGGATGGAGTCGCCCCACCCACTTCCATTGGTTTGAAAGTTTCCTCTGAAGTTTTCTCCTGCCTGGCCCTCCGCCTGTCACACCCAGCATTTTTAGAAGCAGACGTCAGCACAAATGGCACCAGCCTGCGCCTTCGCGCTTGGTCCATTTTCTCTTTCTTCTGCTGAGGGAGAAAGCATGTGGCACAAGGTCCTTGGGGGCCGGATGTCCTGGCTCTGAGCCACGTCACCACTCTAAGCCTTAGAGCTTCACCATGACATTGGGGACAGGCTCATCTGCCACCTCCCAGGCTCATGGAGAAGATTTAACGAAATGCCTCGCTGCAGCCAACATCATCCTCGTTATTGTTGTCTTTAAGGAGCCGGTCACCGCCCACCAGCACCCGGGTGGCCAGGGACATTCAGAGCTCACCCAGCACACTGAGCTGCAAGTGTTTGGTCTTCTCCCCCACAGCATTGGTGGCAATGCAGGAGTAGTGGCCGGCATGAGACAGGTTGGCCTGGGGGACCCACAGGTGGGCTCCGTCCGGAGAGATGTGGTGGGTGTCTCCAGCAGCCAGTGCCCGGCCATCTTTGAACCAGGTGATGTTAGGCTGTGGGTGGCCTGAGGCAAAGGACCAGAGGTCAGAGGCTGCTCACAGCCACAACAAGGACATGGAGACACCAGCTCAGCCAGAGGCCCAGGAAGTACAGCGGTAGCAGAGGTGACAGCAAGCCTGCCCCGGCCCTTCCCTGGGTTTTGCCTGCCTCTTCCTCACTGGGGGGTGGAGACAACTTGGTTCAGACACACAAGACAGCCACATGTTGCTCCTTTCATCCTCTTGTCCACTCATTCATCTTCTCTCTGTCCACCCCCCCATCTATCCATGAACTCTCCATCCATCTACTCATCCACCCATCTACCCATCCACCCATCCATCCACCCACCCACCCACCTATCTACCAACTCTCCATCCATCCATCCATCCATCCATCCATCCATCCATCCATCTACCCACCCATCCATCCATCCATCTTCCTACCCATTTACCTGGATATCCATCTATCCAGCCAGCTACCTACTCACTTACGAGCCAGTCCAATCTACCATCTATCTACCTGTCTGTCCATCATCCATCATCCATCCATCCTACATTCATCCATCCATCATCCATCCATCCATCCTTCATCCCATAAGCAATAATGGCAGCCGGCTCTTCTGTGCACATGGGTAACCATGGAGACAAGAAGCTGATCCCTCCAGGATCTCAGCTCTCAGCAGACCACACCCCATTAGCGAGTGCAGGGCAGGAAGTGTTGGCATGAGGGGCCGGCCAAGGACTCTTGGTGGAGGCCCTAGAGGCTGAGACGTACAGTCAGCGGGGGTGGGAAGGACACCAGGGAGGAGGCCCTTACCTGTGGCATTGCAGATCAGCTGGGCAGTCTGTCCCTCGGGCACCTTGGTCACCTCGTCCAGACCCTCATTCTCTATAGAGGGAGGAACTAGGAGAAGGGAGGAGATGCCCGCTGCCAACCAGGGCTGGCCACTTGGGTGCACAACCACAGAGCAGAGAGCCAAGAGCCCAGGGCTCCTCCATAATGCCCTGAGCCTCAGTTTCCCCATGCTCTGGCGCCTGCTTCTACAGGGCAGTGGGTTTAGTGAACATTTCCTGCTGGCTGAGGAAGAGCTCAGTGCCGCTCTGACAAGCCCTAGAAAATAGTGATCCCCTTCCACTGTGTGTGGGTCCTGCTGCTTCTGGAAAGATCCACAGTGGCCTCAGAGCAGAGATTTTTGGATAAGGTCAAGGTAACAAGTCTTGGCCTCTCCTCTTCTCTGCCTGGGCCTGGAAGCTCCCAGGCAGGAGGCCAAGGATTCTGGGGCCCTGGTGGGAACAGTGCTGCCACATACCCAGGACCTCCACACTGAAGTTCCTTCGCGCCTCTCCAACCTCGTTGCTGGCCAGACACGAGTAGAGACCTCGATCCTGCTCCTGAGCATGCGTCACCCTCAGCATCCAGCCTCCTGGGGAGGGAGGGTAGTGAGCCTCAGTTTCTGGTGTGTGCACCAGCGGGAACCATCACAGACCGAGCTGGGGGGGAGGATGCGTCAGCTGTGGGGCAGGTGCTTAGACCCGCACTTCCTCAAGTCAGCTACGTGCTGTGGAAGGTCCCTCCAGAGAACCTCTCTTGGCAGCAGTTCTCTTCAGCACCTTTTCTGTGAAAATGTTCACCAGTAGCAGAGCAGAGTGGGAACTTACAACTCCCCATCCACAGGGGGAGCTCCCCTGCCTCGTGTTTTGGGGCTCTGGGTCAGAGGTCAGGGTCATGTCATGGAGAGAAGGAGTTAGGCTGGTTCCCAGGACATGGCTGACAGCATACCTGCCAACAGGTAGGTGTCCTCCCGGGGTTGGAAGGGCTCCTCCTCCCGGAACCAGCGCACTTCAGGGGGCGGCACCCCTGTGGCCTCGCAGAGCAGTGTCAAGGCTTCATGCAAGGTGGCTGTGACGTTGGTCAGGGTGTCCGTGTCACCCACGAGCACAGGGGGTACTGCATGGGGGAGGAGCTGTCAGGACCCACCCTCCCTGGGCCACGCCCTGGAGGGTGGGATCTGGTGCTAGAGTAGGGGCGGGGCAGGCCCGGGGTCCCCTGACAGAGGGTGATGTCCCGAAGGCTATGGCCACCTCTCCTGTCCAGCCCAGCAAACGGGAGGCTCTCAGAAATGGACAGGAGTGCAGGCGCTGCTCCAGCTCCCCAGCCCGCAGCTCCTACTCGGCCTTTCCGTGTCTGCACCCAGGCCCCTTCCTCCAGGGTCTGGGGACAGAGACTTGGCCGCAGGGAAGGACACGCAGGGCGGATCTGCGCCCCAGCAGAGCCCCGACCAGCCTTACCCAGCACGGACAGCGCGAACCTCCGCTCGGCGCGCCCCGCCGCATTCTCGGCCACGCAGCTGTACCGTCCTGCGTGGGCGCCCTGCGCCCGCTGCACCTGCAGGCTCTGGCCCTGGTTCTGCAGCGACAGGCCGGGCTCGGCCCTCACAGGCTGCCCATCCCGCTCCCACGTCACCGCCGGCTGTGGCCTCCCCGTGGCATTGCAGTCCAGAGTGGTCTCTCCGCCCTGCAGCACGGACACGTGCGTGAGGGGCTCTCGAGGACCGGCGATCTGGGGGGGAGCTGGGCGGGGAACACGCATCAGGGAAGGCGCTGGGCCTTCAGGCACCAAGCACTGGCCAGCGCCAGGCACGCGGTGGGTGCAACCGCTTGGGCCTCTGACACCCCTTGCCCGCACTGGCTGTGTGATTCCGGCCAGGTCACCTGGCCTCTCTGGGCCCTTGCCCTCATGCCACAGAGTGAGAACCCAGCCATCTATCTGCCAAGATCCTGGGAACCCAGTCCTGCAGAGGGGGCGGCTCCCTGGTCCCCGCCCCACAGGCACGCTGGGGCGCAGCTCACCGTGCACCACCAGCTGCTGGTCCTGGCTGCTGTTCCCAGCCACGTTGCTGCACACGCACGTGTATGTCCCCTCCTGTGCCGGCTGTGCCCGCGCGAGGTACAGCAGCCGTCCCACCACTGACAGGTGCTCCCCGCCAGGCTCCTTCCCAGGTAGCAACTGACCTGTGGCAGGAAGTGAGAAGCCCCCATCCAGGGCAAGGCCGGGACCTTTTGTCGTCTCTCATCCATCCCAACTCCTGCTCATCCTACAGGAGCCAGCTGGGGATGCCACCTCCTCCAGGAAGCCCTCCCTGGAGGCAACATCAGTCTTCCCCATCCCACAGCCCACCCTGTCACTGACCCACAGGGGAAGCAGGGAGACCTGGAGTGCTGGGCTAAAGCCCCTGCTCTGGCTTTTCAAGGTGCCAGGTGCTTGCTCCTGCCTCAGATTCCCCCACCTTGGTGACAACTGCTACACCCACCCGCCAATCTTCTGCCTTCCCCTCAGTCCTCTGAACAACTGAACTCCAGACGGCAACACCTTGTACATCCAGGCCCTGGCCACTTCCTGTCACCTTGTGGTCCCTGGCTTCTGGCCAGCACTGTTGCTTCTCAGGAGTTGGCCCCTGGCACAACCTGCCCTGCCAGCATGGTCAGCCTATGCTACTTCTATCCAGAGCCCTGCAGTGCCTACTCATTGGCGGGGTAAAAGCCAACGTTCCCATGACAACCGCTGGTCCAGCTCCACTGTACTGCTGACCGTCCCCTGCTTCTGCCCCCTTGCTGGCTCTGCTCCCGCCCCTGGCCTCGCTGCAGCTTCAGACGCATGCGTGGCTCCTTCCTGCCCCAGGGCCTTTGCACCACCATGGCCCGAACGATTTTCTCTGCAGCATCCTCTGCCTCCTCTCTTTGCCTCTTCAAGTCAGCTTGGTCTAACGTCCCTACTGCCCGGTTGAAACCCCCAGGCCTACACATCTATCTGCTCCCTGGCTTTCTCTGCCATCACAGCTCTCGTCACCTAAGTCACCAAGTCACTAGCTTAGTTTTTATGGCCCCAGCCCTGGCAGGTGGGGGCGGGTCTGTTCTCTCCCCTGCTGTGTTCCTAGGACCTAGAACAGGAACTGGCACGGACAGGCTGTCAGTGAGTGTGGGTGAGATGAATCTTGGGCTGCCTGAGCACCTGGTGAAGCTGGCACCGACGTGGAACTTAGTGCCAAGGCAGTGGGCCTCACTGACCCACGGAGGAACAGAACAGAGGGGCCGAGCTGGGTGACAGGACAGGGCCACACAGGGTGCTGCGTGCCACCCTGGGGGTCAGGGAGGGCTTCCTGGCAGAAGGGACATCCGAATGTGGCCCGAAGCTGCCGGTGTGCAGAGCAGCCCTGTGCCAGGCAGAGCAGTGATGGCTGTCCTACCGTCCTTGCTCCAGGAGACCTTGGGGAAGGGGACACCACGGCACTCGCAGGACAGCCTGGCGGGCTGCCCCTCCATCACAACCAGGGCGCGGGGCTCCCTCAAAGGGAACACTGGAGCCGCTGAGGCAGAGCAGAGAGGGGTGAGCCGGAGGCTGGACAGGGAAGGGAGTGCAGGGCAGCCCCTCGCTGGGACCCGGGACCTGGTCTCACCCCAGACGTTCACACTGAATTGCTTCTCAGAGCGACCGGCATGGTTCAGAGCCTCACAGGTGTAGCGGCCGGCATCCCCCACCTCTGCCCTGGTCACCTGCCCCAGGCAGAGATGCCTGTCAGCAGGGGAAGCCAAGACAGGTGCCCACTGCCCCTGCCACCGTCCCTGTAGTTGCAGCCATGTCACATGACCTTAGTGGGCCCCAAGCTCCCTCCCAGAACCCCTGGCCCCCAGGTGCATGGAACACCTCAGTGTCCCTCAGTGGCTCCCCTTCGCCCCCACATCCCAGGCCTGCAGATGAGGATGGCACATGGGGTCAGAGCCTGACATGGGAAGGAAGCAAAAAAAAAGAAAGAAAGAAAGAAAGAAAGAAAGAAAGAAAGAAAGAAAGAAAGAAAGAAAGAAGGAAGGAAGGAAGGAAGGAAGGAAGGAA